CATCCGTGGATTGATATTACCTCCGGCAAGCCTGCGTGCTGCACGCGTGCGCACGTGAGACATGACATGCAGTGGCTCGTGGAGCCACGATGCACACAAGTCGGGTGATGGGAGTCTCGTCCGGGAGTATCCAGTCACTGCAAACCCATATCAAGCGCGTAAACACCAAGTCACTGCAACCAATGCCAAAAACAAAACTCAAGAAGCCAGCGCCAGTGAGGACTGGTGAGGCTAAAAAGACTTACAGGATCTTACAGGTCTGATTGTTGATCAGGTTTGTTGATCTTGCATATTATGAGCATGAACATGTTTTTGGTTAGTCAATTCTGACAATTCTCTTTTAGATTACTGATAGAGATAATTAGGCACACCTTGAACCGTTCTTTATATATATAGTATCATTTTTAGAATGTATACATGCTTGTTTTGTTGTCACAAGGCAATGCTGTCAGCAGCACAGAGGATTTCAGAAGTTGAGACAACCTCGGCCGACGGAACTTGAGTGGGTTGCATGCAATTTCATTTGGCGCTGAATTTGTCCGGTTTATTACCCTTGAACCAAATCATTAGTGCATGAGCTATCCTGCGTCCTACCGCTACCTGGAAGCCGCCCTTGCATAATTGAGTAGGCACCTACTCAATTAAGTAAGGGCGGGCTAAACAAAAGCTTCCGCTAAAGCAGCGACTGCTGATTTTCAAGCTCAATGTCTGGGAGTCCATGTGTTTTGGACTCGTCGCCACTCAAAGTGAGCCCACATCCATAGACCATTTAATCCTGATGGATTATTGTAAACCAATTCAATTACCTGTCAACTGTTCTTCAATTTACTTGTAACGTTTCCGCAGCTTCACTGTTACTGGGGAGTGGATTTTTAGTTGTGTGGTGCGGGCTGGTTCATGGGGTGAGTGAGTCCATGAAATGGCTGTGCAACTTGCTCCCTTGTGTTGAACACATCCGCATAGCACATAGCTGCCATTAGCTGCCTAGCTTGGCAACATTTTGCAACCAGGAGAACGAAAGACGGCTTGACAACAATGGCCCTTTGCTGGAGTACTTGAGGCTCTTGGCCTTCTATTGCGACTTCGTGTTATTCTTTTCGCTATTAGGTTTGGCCATCGCTAGTAGGTTGGAGACCATCGCGACTTGTCAGGTTCCTACTGGTCCGCGATGCACACAGAAGACCCACCATCCAAATGGCCACCAAGAAGTGGGACACAAAGCCGCAAAGCTTTGAATGGGAATAGCAGTTTTGAGCTGATCTTCAGTCATTGTTCAATCTGTACTATGAGGATGTCAAACAACGTGTGGGTCGCCTGGCTTGGCCATTGGGAGAATTGACTCGTGTTCCGCAAGGTTTGAGAGCACTGCCATGGAGGTTCTCGGAAGTGAGGGCATTGCCAACGCCAGATTGGCACGTTTATGTCTACTTTGGTGTTGTGTGTACAGTTCTTGTGCTGATGGATGCATCACCAAGTATCGACGTTTTACGTCTTCTTTGCCGAACTCACACAGATTTGAAGATGTCGGAGTTGCATCAAGTTGCCAGCGCCTCATACTTGTGACAGGCTGGCTCCTGGACCAGGGCATCAGGCATGGAGCATGGAGCATGGACTTGGAACTTCATGGAAGTGTTAGTTCGATAACTTGCAACTCTTGTCCGCACAAGCGACACATGCAGCTACTAGGGGCTCCTGGCCTTACTAGGAACAAGGACAGTCAGTTTGATATTCAGGTTTCAACACGCCAGAGTCTCCTCGGAGCAGTGGGAAACTGAGAGCCATCTCATGGCACTTAAAGGGTCACAACTGATGGTTTGGTATTGGAAAGAACAAGAGAACTTGAATCAAAGCGGCTGGAAACCTGTGTGGCAACACTTTGTCAACCTCCACAATTCTGAGTTATGTATAGTGGTCCCCAAATAGACAGAAAAGTAACCTCCCCACTAGGAATGTATAGGAAAGCATTTCTATTTTGGGACCAATATTCTTTTCAAGAGAGCTCTTCTCAGAAGAATGCCGAATAGTGCCATTCCTATTGGCTTGGAGGCCATAGCATCGCGGGTCGTAGGTTGGAGGCCCTGACACGCTCCGCCTCGCCGCTTCGTCCGCTTTCAGTTGCGCCCAGCCTGGGCAGCAACAGCTCCGCAGGGGCTCGGTTACGACAGGCAGGGTTCGGTTGCTCTTGAAAACGTTCTGACGGCTAGCGCCTAGCGGGCCTAGCGGCTTCTCGGGTGCTATATTGCAAAGAAAGTGAAAGGGCTAGTAGCAGCTAATGGGCCAGTAGTTGAAAGACACAGCAGACGACTGTGGCAAGCCAAAGCAATGCATTTGGAACCTAAGAACAGCGTGCTTTCGAGCAACAGAAAAGCAGAAAGAAATCATTCTTTCGAGCAACAGAACACGGAAAGGCCCAGGACGTTTGAATGAGGATGAATGAGGGTTATGCGCGAAGCTGTTACAACCTATTGGTGTTGAGAAGGCATGGTAATTAATGCAAAACAGAAGTCTGAATGTGGGAGACGAGAGAACTAGTTGTGAACCCCCTTGTGGGATGTACGTCGGCGCCTGCTGAGCTAGATTGATGCACAACAGTTAAGAAGGTGTGGATTACCAGATCTCCAAGTCTAAGTCATGGTCAGCCAACATCTGCTCCAGCAACATCTGTCAGCCAACGGGCCAACGGGTCTACCATTCGCACCAACTTTGTGCTAAAGTGCGCAACGAATTGCACCATCTTGCACTCTTATGTTTTGTTTGTTTGGGACAACTGCACTTGGTGTTGAACCCCAACATGCCAACATGTTCGGGGCATTGCGCAAGCCTCGATTCAACAAACATTAAAAAACATGGACCGAAACAGCCGTCGTTTGATCAAAGCTATTAGGTTCCTTTCGCTATTAGGTTTGAGGCCATTACAATTGGAGACTCTCTCTCTGTCGGAGAGTGACACGACGATGTTCCTCAAGAGACACTCAGAGTGAACGACAGGTGGACTCACCGACAGACATGACTGCGCGAATGACCCGCCTTGGACTTGCCTAGAAGTATGCATTCTAAGAAGGATATGCTTCATATTGCTTTATTACATTTGTCGCACTTCTTTTTGTTTATATCATTTTGTATTCCTTTTCAATTTTGATTTTCATGTCTTTCCTCCTGTTTATTGTTTGACCGATCCGTTTTTCCATTCTTTCTTGTTTAGTCTTAGAGCAACTGTTTGAAGACTTTCTGACATGTTTGCAAGCTTTCGCTCAGAGCTTCCCGCCGGACCGGCCTCTGACTTGTGCGGCGGTGAACGAAGGGGAGAGCTACTTTGCCAAGGCCGTGACGTGCACCGCTGTGCACAACCCAAAGCTGCAGTGCTTTGTTTTCCATGGTTCTTTGATTGAAACAACAAGAAAGGACGAAAGAAAGTCCTAACGGATCCCACTCAAAGATCGCAGTCTTGAGAAAAGACAGAGCAATTCGACCAGATTGTGCCTTAGGTTTTTTTCATTGAGTGCTCAGTTTGTCTTTCAGAACGCCATTCCTCAAAACTTGCAGAGAGCTCGTGACAAAGGTACCTTGTTGCTAGTAGTTTCTTGCTACTAGTAGTACGGCCAAGAGCCCCTAGTAGCATCCTTGCTCCTAGTGCCCTTTGTTTCTAGTAGCTTCTTGTTCCTAGTAGTAAGGCCAGGAGCCCCTAGTAGCTTCTTGTTGGCTGCACTTCTCTTCGTCCTCGGAGGTGCTTTCCAACCTTTGCATCCTCGAGGTCAGTGATGAGGACCTCCTTGGTGGTCTCGGTGCATGCGTGGCCTGTTTTGCCATGTTTAATGATAAACTATATACAATTCAAGGGGCATTCAGTTCAAGCGGAACGCTTGCTTTTTTGTCCGCAGCTGCTGTACAAAGACTTGATTAATGTCAGCATCAGCTCTTACGGCATGGCTGGTTGAAATTGTGTGTGTGTGTCTCTTGCGTGTTAGTGGACGAAGTAACAAGGATTTCTGGGTCTCAACTTGAGACAGAGTTGATGAAGTACTTCTCTTTGCCTTCATAGAAAGATTCATCCCACCACTGTGCATATTCCTTTGTCGAACTGAGTAAAGCAACAGTCAGTTGGGATGATTGAGGTGCACCGTCACAACACAATCTCATGCCGCTTGTCGTCAGTCATATCTCTAGTGAAAGACACTGCAAGCTGGAGTGCTACTCAAGCAAGTTATACAAAAGGCATGTTCCCGTGAAGAAACTTGGTATTTTGCAGACATCTGTGTGTGAGTTTGAACATCAGCAGTCATGCACTTTGCGATGCCAGGTGCTTTGAAAGGCCGGCTGGGGCAGCTTTCGCCCTACACTGAGCGAGTTGCCTGTCTCACACCCAAGCAAGGTCTTGGCAAAGTGCCACTGCTAGTAGCGTCCGATCGCTCCGTTCGTAGCGATGCCCTTTGTTCCGTTCGTAGCGAACCTTGTTCAGTCTCCGAGGTGGACACACATTGTGGATTTCCGGTGTCATGGAGCAGCACCTTTGCCGTTGCAGGACATCCGACATTCATGAATACAATTCCTCAAATCACTTGTGAAAGGATAGTTCGATTGGCAATGGCAGTTTATGCCGTTCCTTCACCGACAAAAAACAACATATATACTAGAATCCAGTTTTTGTCACTTTGCAGCTGAAACTTTCATGTAGGCTTCTCAGAAGCATAAAGGAAGCTTTGCAATCATTCATTGCTTGTTTGCAAGGACATGGCCCGCGTTCTGCAGCTACCATGGACATCACCAGAAAGACCTGCGCTGGACGGGAGTGTGGCTTGTGGAGCGTTTTGGTCAGGATTGACATTGCCAGGGTCGGGACTTTAATGGTAGTTGTCTGCCAATCTGTTGAAAGTGCAGTTCATTGCGATCGTTTAGGTTCACGAAGTTGATGTTTAGACATCAAGGCGCAAGAATCGCGACATGGCGATCGACAACGACGTGCTTCGCGGTGCTTCGAAACGCATGTGTTGGATGCTTTGATCATGGGGCGGCAATGGCATGCTGCCATGTCGCTGTTGAAAGACACAAGTCCACTACGGCTGCATCTCATAGTGGCTTTCAATACTGCCTTGGCCTCTCTTTCAATGCATTCTTCTCGGCGGCAAAGCATTTGCAGATTGTTTCAGGCAAGACGCCAGTTCAAGCCCAGCATCGTAAGCTTCAACACAGCAACACATGCGTTAAGCACATTTCAAATAGAGAAATCTTTGGAGATGTTCCGTTTGGGCCATTTGGGCTTGAGGCTGAGCACTCTGAGCTACAACACGATAATCAGTGCATGCAGAGACGCGCAGTAGAACATTGCGTTGAATGTACTCAGTGCGTTGGCAGTTCAGTGTTTGGAATGTACTCAAACAACCCTTGGCTCTGTGATTGCTACATGTTCGTAAAGCAAGTGGGAGCTTTCCCAACGTGCTTTCCACTTGCACTTACGCTTGAATGCCGTGAGACCCACCGCGATTTCTTGTGGCGCAGCATTGGATGCTTGCGAGAATCATGACCAAACAAGTCCATTGCATTTTCTACGCGACTGACTGTTTTCCTTTCATGCGATACATCAGACACCTGTTTTAATGATCTGATATATAAGCCAACAAATTGAACCGTTTGTTTGCTCAGTGTGTCCGTCCACAGTGAGGAAGGGCTCACAATGGAGAGGGTTTTTGGAGTTGCTTGGTGGTTTGGTGAAAAGCCAAGTGGTGTAGATCTCGGATGTCTTGGGACGGTCCTCTTCGCCCTTTCACTCCAGATGTATTCGGAGCTGAGTGAACTGAGCACTTGGCCTGCGCCCCGCAGAATCACCCGGCAGTGTAGCAGTGCAGAAGCCAGCCGGCCATGCGGTGCAGTACTGAAGACTTTGTAAATCTTCTTCAAGCGGCCCTTGGTTACCTGGTTTGCCGTTGCCGCCAGCATCGCGCCTTGATCATGCAACGTCAGGAGTTTTGCCACTAGCAACTGGTAAAGACACTTCGGTGCCTGTGAGATGGTTGAAGGCACAGTTTGCTGGGCGCTTGGTCGTGAAGGAGTATCTTTGTCTTTGTGAAGGTCCATCTCTGGGAGTGGTTGGAACCAGCTCCCTGAGATCAGGACTTCGAACTGTATCCAGCACTGGACGAGAAGCACTCACAAAGTACACGGCTTCTTTCTGATCAAGTTTGCTGCTGTCTCCCCATATTGAAGGATACAGCCTTGTCAAGATACTCTGACTAGGTCACGTTAGGTCTTGAAGTTGCCTAGATTCTTCCTGAAAACGAGTTTGTTACTTGCAAAACCCGTTGCTGAGAATGCTTTCTAGCGTCTTTGAGCTGTTCTGCAGCGTGATGTATGGAGTGAGCAACTGCCATCCAGGACTGCAGTGAGCTGATACAGCTTGAAGTGACCATTGACTGGAGGAAACACCAAATCCGTGCCCACTTGGCGAGTATTGGCAGACCTTTGGTGAGAGACAGACGCAGTCTCGTCGGTCATCTCTTCATTGCCACTGAAAGTCTTTGGTATGAAAGGCAAGGCAGCTTCGGTCCCAAGCACCGAAGCCAGATGAACTTTCTGAGGTTCGGACCTTGACACCACGACCGCATGAGAAGCCACGACCAGCTGCGACTCGGAAAATGTCGCTCGGAAGTTCGACTGCTATGAACTTGAGCCCAAAGTTCCACATCGCAATGTTGTCTCTCTTTTCTATTCTTCTTCTCATGTGTTTCTCCCAGGAGTTCTTGGATCTCCTACCAACAGTCTTTGACTTTTTGAGGCACGGTGGTTGCATTTCTGCTTCAAGTTTCAAGTTTCAGCGGAAAAGTCCACCTTTGTGTCAACCTTTTCAGCCTGCAGTTGGAACCTTTTGCGTTTTCTTTGCTCGTACTTTGTAGTGCCGCGTTTACCACGTTTGACCACCAAGACGGCTGCCTCTAGGCATGCAGCCGTGCTGCGAGGCCGCAATCTCACCACACCATGCGCCTTGTGCACATACAGTTACAGGTACCATCAATTTGTTCATGAGCTACGCAATCATGCTATTGAAAAACTGATTTCCGATGGCTGTACTAAACGCCAAACTCAGAGGTTGCTCTTGAAGCAATACCGGTTTTTACTAGCCATCGCTAGTAGGTGGAGGCAATCGGTCTTAACGAACTACTCTGTTCTTTTGTTGTCCAAATTGTGGCTGAAGCAATTAGCATCAAACGGCAGAGTCGTAGGACAAGAGGTTGCATGCCTGTCCAGTTCACTCCGCTGTGATGTGTGATACGGAGTGAACTCAACATGCTGACTCGACGCTTTCTGAGAAGCCTTTGCACGAGCACGCTTCAGCATGCTTCAGCATCTACCTAAGGGCTTCAGTGAACTAGCTAGTCCATTGCATCCCGGTTTGATTCGCAAGCATGGCCAAACTGGCAGACATGGATGAGAGCGGGCTTCCGAGTCCTTCAGCCTTTAAGTCGACAGGTCGATCGTGTCGTTGAGTCGTTGATGGCCAACTTTCTAAGGTGTCGCGCTTGCCGCCTTGACACCTACAAAGCTCAGCCGAAAACTTAACCGAAACAGGCAAAGCCCCGCTGTCGCAGCACGTAAATTCTTTCTTTCTTCATTTTATATTTGGCAATGTTCTTTAGAAGGAACATTCTTTTCCGTTTTCCTTTTGTTGTTTCTTTGTGAGCAGGTGAGCTCCAACAAATCTTTGCAAACTGGTCAGTGCATTCTTGGACCCATGCAGAGCAAGACCATACTTGCAGGGCTCAGGTGACTTTAACGAAGACACTCACACCCAGCATCTTCAGGTATCGTATCTCCATCCATCTCATTGCATTTTGCCATCCTCCTGAAATCAACGTGCCTTCAACGTGCAGCGTACCTAGAGCATCCTGAAGTATCCTGATGCATCTTGATGCATCCTGTTTCCACAGAGAATTCGTCAACGTGCGAAGGTGACTCATACTGGTAGCACTCTCAAGACCTGAGGCATCCCTGTATGTCTTTCTAAAGCTCATTGTCCGCCTTATGCAAAGCCGCTTCTCAAGGCTTTGCTGATGTTCTCGAAGCCTTGGAAGCTGAGGACTCTTTCTTTTTTTTTAAGAACAAAGAAACGCGTGAACATGGGTAGCTACGGTAACGCAAAGCGTGGTGGTTTGAAGGCAATGCTTCCCTTTGACGTATCCTACATACAGGTTTGTGTGCTAGCGCTGATGAAAAGACTTTTGTTGGATATTGTCCATCCTCACCTTGTTCATTCTTCAGGACATTCCGGAAAGCCATCGCCAGAATGCGGCTTCGAAGCAATTTTTGGGGTCAGGTGTTTCCACTTTGCACATGAACATTGACACATGAAATGCTTGCATTTCTTGGTGTGATTGACAGTGCTTGGCTGCTGCTTCCGAACACCCTTGGTTTACAAATCAGGCTGTCTCGGATTTATATATATATAATATATATATATAGTAGGGCATTCACACAACTTCTTCCAAGGATGTCTAACTCTATAAGAGACTCCTGCACCTTGTTGATCATTATGTCGCATGAGGTGAAAGAGAAGAATGAACGCATTTTGGGAATGTGCCTTGGGGTCACCTGCCACTGGTCGAAGGCCAGATGGAGCGAATGGCTTGACTGGTCATTTGGGAACAAAAAAGACTTTCAGATAGCTTGCACTGAGTTTTGATCGCCTGAGATTCTCTTTCTCATCTTCACTAGCCCCCTTTCGGCTGCCGACCTTCTAAGACCAGTTTACTTTTGGTATTCACCAGCTTTACCACTGTTGTACTTCTCAGTATCCTCTCAACGGTTTCTTCCGTACCCGCTTTGTCAGTTGCCCTTCCTTCTCCTTCAAGCGAAAGTCATCCTCCCTTACCGTACAAAACGCGCTTTTATGCTCAAGTGATACTGCATGTTGCGTGCACATTGGAACCTCAGTTCTCCCAGGGTGCGACTATCTCATCTGCAACTCGCTCAAGGCACCGTGTCTTGCAGGATGTCTTGCTATATTATAGTCAACCAACATAACACATTTATGACCTTTCTCAGCTGACTGATCTTGTGGATGCATTCTAAACACATTTTTTTGAACCTCTTTTTTCACTTGTTTTCTTTGGCCTCTCTTTGGACTGTCTTTTTGTGCGAGTCTTGCCTTCCGCCACCTGCCCTGTGCTTGAAAGCAATCTCGACATTTCGAGGCCTTCCATTACCTCCCTCCTTTGCCGCTTTGCTCAACAGGCAAAAAGCATGGAAAAGCCATCTCGCTATTAGTAGTAAGAAGCTAGTAGGTGGAGGCCATCGCTATTAGTAGCAAGAAAGCAATGTTCTTCGTTAATTCATAGATGTGAATGCTTCCTGAATTGCAGGAGCTACCAGGCTTTGAATTCTCCTCCATCCAGGTCAACAAGGTGCATTTCGCTCAGCAACTCCTCAAATTATCTTTCCCTATTGAAAAGTCTGTTTAGCCTTTGGACCGTAGAACTTCCTTCTCTCCTTTCTTTCTTTAATTTTCCTTCCTTGGATCAACATGATTCAAGACTATGCACATGTTGCCGGCCCAACTTGACAGGACTACAAGGCGGCAATGCACGTTGACAAGAACAACCTTGGGCCGTCCTTTATTCTTGGATTAGGCACACCGAGCGCGCTCTGACGAGGCTGGGCAGTAATCGCTGGACTTGACTTGACACTTTGCTAGGTGATTACTCTGGAGGTTGGCTTTGGCTCGATGATGGCAGCAAAGTGGGGAGGGTAAAGAATATCAGGTGCGGAATTTGCTAAGTTTTCTAGCTATTATCTTTACAATGAATTGGGCAACAAAGATTGAACCGTCAGGAATAGATGGTTCAAATTCGACGGCCGGAAGCCGCATTGTGCGATAAGCTCGGATTTGCTGATCAATTTGCTGCAGATCACACACAACAATGAAAAGAGCAAGAGGAATCCACAGTGTTGAATTGAGCACAGGTGACTCCTTTCAGTGGTCGTCGCTACACCTTGGCTGCTAAGACTCAAGAAGCCAACGGAGTTTGCACTGGTTTTCCACTCAAGAAATGTTAGTTGTTCCATGAACATCAAAGAAAAACATCTCCCTTATGTACCGTTTGCCTGCTCAAGTTTATGTTGTAGTCGCACGTCAAGCCTTCAAAAGTTCCCGTGCCAACCAGTTACATCGAGGTTTTCTTCACATACTCCAATCCAAAGATGGCAACTGCTCTCTCTGCAAAGGACGTGTGACATGCATGCCCTGGCACACCTTTGAGCGTTGCAATCGTTGTGCAGGAGGAACGCTATCTTCAACAGCTCGGCTTCCCATTGCCCAAGGAGGTGACGC